TACTGGTGGAGGGACGGGGTCCAAGTTTGAATAGTTTGCATCACATTAGGTTGTGAGGTGGGTCGTGCTAGTAGTGAAATAATCAAATGTAAAACCAGGAAGAGATCCGTTAGTATGTGAAAAGTGATGGATTTGGAGTCCAAAGGTCTTCATTTGAATCTAAGCCCTGCCACTTATTCCCTGTGTGACCTTGACTTCTGGGTCTCAGTCTCTTCTTTTGTAGCTTGAGAGGGTTTGACTAGTTGATTTCTAAAATGATTTGCAGCTCTAAATCTATAATTCTATGAACTTCTTCATCTTACAAATGAGGAAACTGAGGCCCAATCAGAGAGGTTAAGTGCCTTGTCCCAAGTTACACATCTAGGGGCCACAGTGGATGGCGGGCTAGTCCTTGACTCAGAAAGACCTGAGCTCAAATCCGGCCTTAGACACTTATTAGCTGGCTGACCCTGGGTAAGTAACTTCACCTATGTTTGCCTCAGTTTTCTCATTTGTAAAATACGGGTAATGATAGCACACACCTTCCAGGGTTGTTGAGAGGATCAAATGAGATAATAAAGTGCTTAGCACAGTGTCTGGCACAGAGTAAATCCTATATAAAAATTGGCTAGTATTATTATATTATTATTATTATTAAGAGAACTGGGACTTAAACCCAAATCTCCTGACTGAGCCCACAGCTCTTAAGCACTTATTAAAGACCCATTATGTGCCACGGAGAAAACAAAAAGAGGAAATGACAACCCCTGCCCTCTGGGAGCTCACAATCTAATGGGGTGACAACAAACAGACAAATAAGAACAATCTATAAACCTGAAAAACGGGAAATAATCAACAGAGGGAAGCACTAGGATTAAGAGAGGTCAGGAAAGAGTTCCTAGAGATGGGATTTTAGCTGGGACTTAAAAAAAATTTTGTCTGCTCTGTTGCTATTATCTTCACTTTACAGATGAGGAAATTCAGAAGCTCAGAGAGATTAGGTGATGTGCCCACCATGGTAGAGCAAGTAACTAGGGAATCCAAGACTCGTTGCTTAAGTGGGACTATCTAGCCCCTAAAAAAGGGGTTCCAGACTGCAGATTGGGTGGATTTGAAAGTCTTTGAGATGGAACAGGATATTTCTCTGCCCTGTGTTTTATTACTCATCTTGTGGTTAACTAGTCACTAATTATCCAAGGCTTGAGGATTTCGTAGGGTAAGTCACTGCACCCAGAAAATATGACACAGGAACAGGGGTAGGAGAAGCTAATCAACTTTATAAGCTTACAGGAAGATGAGCTTTCCTTATGGGGCAATCTTTCTATAGAAGGGTGTGAACATGCCTTATTGACAACCTTGTGTTAAAGACTGGGGCATGTCCATTAATGGCATTTTTATTATTCGGTCTTTTTCATGTATCTGACTCTTTGTGAGCCTGTGAACCTCTGTCCACGGGGGTTTCTTGGCAAAGATACTGGAGTGGTTTGCCATTTCTCCAGTGGCAGAGATTAAGTAAATTGCTCAAGGTCACAGAGCTAGGAAGTTTCTGAGGCTGGATTTTGTACTCTGGTCTTTCTGACTCTAAACCTAGCACTCTATTCACTGCTGCCTAATGGCCCCATTAATAGGATTAAGTGTGAGCAAATGGGGATAAATTGATTGGATCCGGCTGTTGTGGACTGGAGCTATATTTTGGGTTTGACCTATCTAAGAGGATTTTGCAATGCAATGGCACCAACATGTTAAGACAGGTGAGTGGAGACCTGAGAAACACAGGAGGTCAAAGGGCAGAATGAATGAATGGGAAGAGGGAAAGCCCATGCATCTCTGCATCTCCCCCATGAGTGTCAAGAATGGCAATGAAAAGCACAAGCAGAACTATTCAGTCAGACATTTCCAAAAGTCTCATGATGGAAAATATTATCCACATCCAGAGAAAGAACTATGGAGTTTGAATGCAGATCGAAGAATACAGTTTGCTCTTTTTTTCTTGTTTTGTTTTGTTTCTTCTTCCTTGTGGTTCCTCCTATTGATTCTAATTCTTCTTTACAACATGACTAACATGAAAATATGTGTAATAGGAATGTATATATAGAGCCTATAACAGATTGTATGCTGTCTTGGGGAGGGAGATGCAGAGGGAGGGGGAGAAAATTTAAAACTCAAAAGCTTATGGAAGTGAATGTTGAAAACTAAAAATAAGTTAATAAAAAATTATTTAAAAAAATAAAACAAAACCCCCCATAACTATTCAATCACGTGGCCCCAGGAGAATATGGGAACACATTCTTAGCTTCCTAGATAAAGGAGGGGATATTCTTTGGATGACAAGTCAAGTTCTCCAGGCAAGAGAGCCTCTCTGGTCAGAGAACCTCAGGTCAGCACCCTTACTTGGCCCATGCCATGCCTCCTGCCCTTCCTCCAGTCACCCTCTGGGTTGAACTCAGAGCCAGGCCCTGCTGTTGATCCTTTCTTGACCAGCAGAACTATCTCTCATTGTCTTACCCCACTTGACCAGCCATCCAGGTGGGGTAACAGATACAGAAGAGACTCAATCTCTCTGAAACTCCTCAGAGACTGAGCTTCTTTACCACTCTGACACCATTATCCCTGTGACTTGTTTCTCCGTCTTCGTAATAATTAATCTGTAACCATTAATCTGTAACTACCTTCAGCTCCTTCCATATGTTTTCATCCCTCAACTCAACCCTACCCATGCATAAATCCAACTCTGCCCTCTACTCCCACTGTGCAATTCCCCTTCCAAAGGGAACAAACTCCCCTTCGTCTTGGACCTCTTCTTTTCATACTTGTTCTCATTCTTTTCCCTTACAGAGACCTGGCTCCCCTCTGATGACACTGCATTCCTAGCTCTCCTTTCTAGCTCTGGCTGTCCCCTCTTTCATATCCTGGTCATACTGGTCCTGGAAAAGGAGCGAGGAGACTCCTTGCTCCCAATTGCCAATTCCAGACTCTCCTTTTATCTCTTTCATTCTGTAACCTTTCCTCTTTTGAGGTCCACATCATTAAAAATGTCCACCGATACAAATTACGGTGGCTGTTGTATACCATCCTCTTCTTTCTCAGAGCTTAGCACTTGCTTCACATGCTTCCTCTTTTCCCTAACTCCTGCTCTTATACTAGAGGGCATGTGCCCCCTAAATTCCCTAACCTCCTGTTTCCACAGCCTCCCTGGGTCCCATCATTATCTATTCATTTACTACTTCACCACACTAGATCTTGCCATTATCTTTAAGTGTTCCACTTCTCTAATTAGAAACTGACATTCCCTGACTGACCATCACCTCCCATCATTCCACCTCTCCCTACGCTTCCCTCCTTACACCAGCTCTTTGCCTCTCTCAAGACCTCCATTCCCCCCCACCCCTCAGTCCTTCCTCAGGTCAAGATCCTTGCTGACATCACTCTACTACCTCTCCAATCTCAAACTGTTAGCCATTTTAACTTTATACTTGTCCTCCGCCTTTGAATCCTTTGTCCCCTTGTTCCATCACTGTTCTTCTCTTGCCAGACTTCAGCTATCTGCCTCCTCTCTTCTCACTCATGAACTACTAAACAAATCTGGAGGAAATCCCCACAACTTTGCTGGGTCCACTACAAACTCATGTTGTAATAATAATAGCTAACACTTATACAGCACCTTATGGTTGGCAAAGTGCTTTGCAAGCATCTCATTTTATCTTCACAATTTTGTAAGGCAGGTGCTGTTATCCTCACTTTACAGTCAGTCAATATTTATTAAGTACCTACTGAGTGCCAGGCAGTGTATTAAGTGCCAGGGATATAGAGAAAGGCATAAGATAGTCCCTGCCCCCAAGGAACTCACAATTTAATAGGGGAAGATACCACATAAGAAATGGAAAAGCAGGATGGATTCAGATGGTAGTGGGCTAGCCTGATGAAGTCCTGCAGCCTGAGAGGTATGAGTTACAGACTTGATTTCATCTTGCAGAATGATGAGTTTCTGGAGATCATGAAATCAGAAGCTCAGCCAGTGGGAAATGATGAATTCCCTGGGTGGAGGATTTGGAAGGAGCTCTCCAATGCCCAACCTTCACCCTCTCCAATCAAAGGGAGACAGAGGTCCCAGGGGTAGGGGGTGCTGAGGAGGTGGGAGTTTCAGAATTGCTGCAGAACAAGTAACTGTTACAGACAACAAAACTGAGGCAGAAGTTAAATGACTTGCCCAGAGTCATACATCTAGTGTTTGAGGAAATTCGGTTTTCTTAACTCCTGGTTTAGCACTCTATTCACTGAGCCATTTAACTACCCTTTCTACAGGAAGGCAGTCTGCTTATTTTTTATGGATGTCTTATTTCTTTCTTCACTGAAGCTATTCCAAACCTTCTCTTTCTCAAAACATAATACTCCTTCTCTTTCCACTCCTCCCACCCCCACCTCAGCTGAGGACCTTGCCTCTTATTTTCTTGAAAAAACTGAGGCCATCTGATGCGAGTTCCCTCTTCTCAGATTCTTTTCATCTTAAAACAGCTTGACACCATCTCCCTCTCCCCTTTTCTTCACCTCTGAAAGGTGGCCTTTCTCCTTGCCAAGACCCATCCCTCTGCATATGCACTTGGTTCCGTTCCCTCCCATCTTCTCCTTCTGACTGCATCATTAATCATCCCCACTCTCTTGAATCGTCAACTTCCCCTATCAACTGGTTCCTTTATTACTGCTGTCAAACATGCCCACATTATGAAGTGCCGGTCTGGCAGGGAGCTCACTAGTTAGAAGAGCAGGCCTTGGGGCCTATATTCTTTCCTCTCTGGGTTTTTAGTGACAGTATTTTGTCCTGGTTTGCCTCCTATCTCTCTAGCTGCTCCTTAGTCTTCTTTGCTAGCTCAGCATGTTAGGAGTCCCTTGTCTACCTGTTCTATGTAGTTGACACAGAGTCATTTACAAAGAGAAATAAGTCACTCATCTCATCAACCACATGTAGCTAATAATTCTTTTACCCTTAAAGAAAGCTTAAAAGAAAGCATTCAGCACAATCAACATCAATGTATTAAGTCTTTTTATTCAGTTACTGATACAATTCCATAATTTAGTTCTCTAAGAACTGATACACCAATGACCAACAACTTATTATTATATCCCAATATATCTGAATCACTGTATTCTTTACAGTCAACTAGGATTATTTACATATTCTGTGATCCTTTAAACTTAATTTTATAAGGATTTCAAACTGCCCCTAGGTTATGACATGCCTTATATCAGGGTACTTACGGTGAACAAAAAGGAATCAGATTGCTTGATTTTATATATTTATTCATAAGGTAGTAAGCCTTTGATAAAAATTAGAAGTGAATATTCACAGGTGGTAATTTTTCATGTATAATTGTATCTTTTCAAAAGTTACATGGTAACTTTTATAATTGTGAGATTACTTATATATGAAGCTTTATGCGTTCAAGTATTTTGCATGATGTCTGATGTGATCATTAATAAAAGTTGCAATGAAGTAGTAGTTATGATCATATCCCTGGAAAAGAAAACATACGTATATAATCACCAAGACAGCTAATACATATGCAAAGTAATATTAAGGACTAAAAAATTATCCAGTTTGTTTGCTTGAAAGAAGTTCACAATAAAAAACAAAAGGATTTCTATATACACACTTTGAAGTTTTCATTTTATATTTAAACCACAATGTACTTCGTAACATTTTAAACTAAAAAAATGAGGAAAAGAATTAGCATTCCACAGAGACTGGCTTATATCACCATTTCATTATGCCAAGAGAAGAAGACATAAATACATTAATGAAGTTTAATATCCTTTGTGGAACAGAGATGTTTGCTGGCATTCCCAAGAACCATGACATCATTCAGCGGAGATTCATAAACATGGAGAAGATATTGAATTTCAAGCCAGACAAGAGGGGCACTAATCAATCAATAATGAAGTGAATCCCGAATCATACATACGCACATAGAAAACAAAAATTTGGAGGAAACAGCCACAACTACACAAATAACTTTTTCTAGACAGCAAAGTTATCCCAGATCTAAAATTCTGGGGGCAGTTCTCAAATCTCATAATTTTTCAATGATGTTGAGATACAGACACAAAGCAAGTAGGTATTAGTTAGACTTACTTAATGGATACTGGAAAGGACTAAATGAATATTTGAGCACAAACAATATAATCACTTACCTACCACATTTCATTAAAATTCAATTAAGCTATATGACACACACAACCAAGGTTGGCCTCAAAGAAGAAATATGAGAAAACACTTTCCCTGTTCCTTTGCAGAGGCAGAGGAAGTCCACAGGTGTGGAATATTGGATATAACATCAGACTTGAATATGTCAATTGGTTTTGTAGAAATTTATGATATATTTATTTCAAAAAGTCAGACAAATTTAATTTAAGAGAGTTAACCTTGATATGCTTTAGCAACATATCAAGTGTGGCCAAAGTCTATCAACATGGAACTGGCAGACAAACGCAAAAGCCAAGAAGAGACTTTACTTTGTTCAATTACAGCCATCAAGATAAATATGAGGGAAAAAACAACACAAGGAGACATAGACATGGAAGGGGAAAAAAGTCACTGAGAACAGCCTCCTAAGGAAATTTGACTATCTACTCCGAGGATAAGGCTCCATAGGAAATATGTTCAATTACAGACTTGAACAAGGAACTTCTCAAAGGTTTACTAGAAATGAATGACTTTCTGGAGTCCCATGATGCTATAAGGGGTCATAATCCTTCACTATCAAAGGAAGTTAAAGGAAATTTAGGAAGGCTTTTCCAGTTTTCTGCTTAATGCTAGTTTCTATTCAACAGTGGAAGTCTGATGAGGAAAAAGTGGGAGAGTAGACACTTAAGAAGCCCACTAAACTAACCATATAAAAAAAACAAACAAAAATATCACCTGTGCTTTTGAGTCCAGTTACTAATCCCTAGGAACTACAGAAGATGAGGTAGTACATTTTCTGACTCTTATACCATGCTATAAATTTCTGGGAACCAGCAACTAAGCAATACTTCTAGATGAAAGTCATGGAAGTAACTCAAAAGCAATCCATCTATTCTTTTCCCCAGACTACACATGGAAATTAATTTGACAAGAGTGTTGCCTTATTAGGACCAAGCCCTGGATTATTTGGTTTCACATTTCTGTGTCTAGACAAGAAGAAAAACCTTTCTCTAGGTCACAACTCATTAGGAGGATGTAAAACTAAAAGAAAGAAAGACAATATGTAGGAAAAAGATGACTAGATAAGGAGAAAAAGATTCTGGGGAAAATTCAAAGGGAACTAACTATTTAAGCTTCTCAGTTTTCAAGGCAGTGGGATGTTAACAGAAAGAGCACAAGGCAGAGTCAAGACCTGAGTTCAAATCCTGTCTCTAAACACTGGCTGTGTCATGGGCAAGTCACTTAACTTCCCTGAGCCTCAGTTTCCTTATCTGTATAATGGAGAAAACAATAGTTGTAATACCTACTTCACAGGGGTGAATAAAGAGTTTTGCGAATCTGAAGATGCAATAAAAATGTGAATGATATTTTTTTTTCCTTTTGCAGAATGGCAGCATGTGTCACCTACCAGTAACTCAACAAGCATATGATAGGCCCCTTCTGGGCACCAGACTGGACACTGCTTGGCTTTCTCAAATTCAAAGACTATATCTTGTTCAGTAAGAGATTGTGTTAAGAAGAATAGTGTGATCTTCTAACACTTGGCTAGCCAACTGCTCCACGTTTCATCTTCATTTGTCTCTGCTCCCTACAAAGATGCCTCAAAGGAGCCTACTTCAAGATCCGTGTGAGTCCAGGTTTATTTCTCCCTTGTTACTTAAGGACACATCTGTCTCCCTGCCTATTAAACTGTAAGTTTAGGAGCAGCAGGAGCACTTAAAGAACCACGTTTCTTTGCACTTGGCCCATCTTCCTGACATATGGGAGGAGGAAGGACATCTCTTCCTTGGGAGCAAAAAAGCCAAATCAGAACTATCATTCCTGGAAAGGACTTGTCAATAGATTGCCCTGTGACTACCATCCCTGTGACTTCCAAGAACAAAATGCCCTTCCAAGGCCATCACTCCCCTCTTCATGTTGCCTTTCCCAATTAGAATGTAAGCTCCTTGAGAACAGGGACTGTCTTACCTTTTTAATTCTTTCCTCCAGTGCTTAGTACATAGTAAGCATTTAGTAAATCCTTATACTTTGTTTAATGTGAGATTCCTCTCTGACTCAATCTGTGTGTCCACCTATCCCTCACCTCTCACCATCAAAAAATGGTCCTTTTTATTGGATCTGCTTCCCATGAGCAGTGGCATTTTTTTCTCTTTTGAACTAGCCCTGCTTTCCACAGTCTGCCCTTTTATTTTCCCTGGGCTATTTCTATTCCTCTCCAGATCAAGTGCTACTACTTCTTTTTTTTCCCCTTTGTTTTTTGGTGAGGCAATTGGGGTTAAGTGACTTGCCCAGGGTCACACTACTAGTAAGTGTCAAGTGTCTGCTCTGAGACCACATTTGAACTCAGGTCCTCCTGATTCCAGAGCTGGTGCTTTATCTACTGCACCACCTAGCCGCCCCAAGTGCTACTACTTCTACATCACTAAGTTACTATACAAAGAGTGGCATATATATGTCCTTCCACATCTCTGAGAACTTGCAAAGTTAAGATTTCAATGGGAGGCTACAAATCATAGACAGACAGACCTGAATGAAGGAGATAACGCTTTCAGGGCAAAGCATTCTAAAAAAAGTAGGGATTTTAAACCCTGCTGTAATTAGGATCAGCGTCTTACTCTACAATTCAGTAAACATTCAACCGATTTTTTTTTTGGTAAGGCAATCGGGGTTAAGTGACTTGCCCAGGGTCACACAGCTGGTGAGTATTACATGTCTGAGGCCAGATTTGAACTCACGTCCTCCTGACTGTAGGGCCGGTGCTCTATCCACTGTGCCACCTAGCTGCCCCCATTCAACTGAATTTAATAGGCATTAAGTGGCAGAGTGCTAATATCTGTGAATCCTAATGGAAATAATCTAAGAGGATTCTACATGCTACCTGAGTATTTCAAAATTCAAAGCAAATACTCAAACTTCCATACAGTATTATTATGGTGCTTGTACAGTCAAAAATCCACTTTTCTGGGAAAAAAAGTAAATATCTTACATGAGGAACCAAGAAAGATTTTAAATTAATCTAAACTAAAAACATAAAAACTAAAGAACTAAAAAAATTAAAGAACTAAAAACATAGAGCATATTAGTGATACATCCTGAAAAATACAGGATGGTTAAGTCAGTCAATAAACATTTTAAAATACCTACTATGTGTCAGAAATTGTCCTAAGTGCTAGGCATACTAAAAAAACCAAAACCAAAACCATAAAAGTCCATTTCTCAAAGAACTGCCACTTTAGTGGGGAAACAACATGCAAACAACTATGTACAAACATGACAGATACAGGATAAATTCAAGATAATTACTAGTCAGAAGGTACTAGCAGTAAGGGGAATCAGGAAAGGGTTCTTGTAGAAGACGGGGTCTTAGCTGGGCCTTGAAAAAAGCCAGGGAAGCCAGGGGATGGAGATTAAGGGATCAAGTTATGAAAGGCTTTGAAAACCAAACAAAGGGCTTTATATTTGATCCTGGAGGTGATAAGGAGTGACTAGAATTTACTGAGTATGAGGGAGACATGATTAGTCAAGCCCATTAGAAAGATCACTTTGACAGCTGAGTGGAGGATGGACTGGAGTGAAAAGCAGTAAGCAGACCAGCAGCAGGCAATAGTTCAGGGGTGAAGTGAGAAGAGCCTGCACCAAAGTGGCAGCCCCATCAGAAGAGAAAAGGGGACCTATGTGAAAGATGTACAGAAGGTAAAATCAACAGGCCTTGGCAAAACATTGAATATGAGGAATGAGTGGAGTCAAGGATGACACCCAGGCTTGTGAGCCTGGCTGACTGGGAGGATGGTGGTACTCAACACTAAAAGGGAAGTTAGGAAGAAGGAAGGGTTTGGGGAAAAAGACAATGAATTCAGACTCAGACATATTGAATTTAAGATGTCTAAGACCCAAGTTGAGGGGTCCAATTGGCAGTTAAGATGCAAGAATGGAGAAGGAAATTTGAGAATCATTAACATAAAGGTGCTAATTATATCCATGGGAGCTAATGAGATCACGCGAAATCCTATAAAAGGAGAAGACAAGTTAGGACAGAGTACTGTAGGATGTCTATGCTTAGTGAGCATGACCTGGATGAAATTCCAGCAAAGTAGACTGAGAAGGAATGATCAGATAGGTAGAAGAATAAGGAAAATAGCAGTGTCACAAAAACCTAGGGAGAAGAGTATCAAGGAGAAGAGGGTAGTTGACAGTGTCAAAGGCTGCCCAGAGGTCAAGAACAATGATGATTGAGAAAAGATGATTAGATTTCACGGTTAAGGGACTATAAAGAGAAAGATTAAGCGTGTCCCCTTTCACTAGTGTTAAGTTCAGGTTGTAAAGGGGAAGAAGAAAAAGTTGGGAGACGTTCTGGTGATTTTGCTATCTTATTTAACCTCTTGGTAAGTTCCTTTCCTAGCAAGACTATTTTGTATCTATAAAATGGCTATACTGAGATTGCTTGTGTTCTGTGTCATTAAGGAGGCAGTGACTTCCTCTTCCCCCACAATACAATTTAAAGAAAAAGTCTGTGACAGAAAAATTCTATTTAGAGCTAAGTTTTTTTAAAAAAATTACATGCTTTTTCCTTTACTCGGTTCTCAAAGTGGAATCAGTATTCTAGGTACTATACTGGATGCTGATGCTGAAAGGCAATGTTTTCTTTCATCTCCTCAAAAGCCCTAGGAGTTCAGAACTGAATAATGGATTAACTCTTCAAGAAGGGTCTTCACAGAAAGCAAAGAAAAAGAGCGCTTGTGTTTCTCACTTATAGATGGTGAAGATCTCTCCACTAAAGTCTTATTCTGATGTTTCTTCTGGGAGCAGAAGTAACCTAGGGTTCTCCAAGGCTATGCTAGTGGAATGCAAGCTCCGGCAGCTCCTACTGAGTCAGAAATGCTTAAAAACTAAGGCCATAAGTGATGCACCTATCATCTGAAGATGATTTTATCAAAGTTTGGATAGGATGATCGCAAGCCTATCCATTTTTTTATCCATTCTAATCCTCAAAGATCATCTACTTGGCTGTCAAGGGGTTTTGATCTGCACTAAGAAGAAGGTACCCACACTGACAAAATCAGAGATCTTTGACGTGTAATTAAGATAGCTGCCCATATTGGCAGAAATAGCCTTTGATTTAGAAGTACTTTGGGAACCAGAGAAAACTTCAAATCCTTAATTCCTGAAGCCTGTAAAGACGGGACATAGTTGATGTCAACTGCCTCACTCCTTGGTTACTGAGCTTCCTTTCTCAACCCACTCTGTGCAACTTCAACAACTGAAAAACAATAACTCCCAGTCCCTGCTCCCATGGTACTTTTCCAGTTTTTAGAAGCCTGGATTCTAGTCCCTGTTTTGCCATAAATCACTGAATCTCTCTGAACCCAGTATTCCTCACACTGACAAAATAAGGGGGATTGACTAAATTCCAGCTCTGTCCATGATTTTAAGCAGATAATCAAGTTTTCAGCCTTTGGGCAAACCAAAGTCAAGAGAGGTTTTGTCTGAGACTCTGGTTCTGGAGTGATGGCCCGGCACATTTCCATTCATTTGCTTACTCAATGACAGAAAGCCTAAACAAAACCTAGTTTAGACTGTGCAAGCCAGACTTACTCTGATTTTGCCAGAACGAAAGCCAAGGGAAAATTGTTTAAGCTAAACAATGAATTAGGCCACAGCAACTTCAATGTTTTCTTACTCTGGAGTTGTCAAATGGATACTTCATCTTGGCCCTGGCCCAAGTCTAGACTAACAAGTTTCTTAGTTGCCAAGAAGAAAATAATGAGTGTCTCATTTCACTGTTCCCCAAATCTTTGCCACTTCTACAATCTCCCAGAGTTCTAAGTCTTTGTTTGAAGGCTAACAATCTCGTAGTCACATCAGAATTTCTTGGCACAGTCCCTGGACAGAAAAGGTATCCAACGTGGCTCTTGCCAAGAAGTGTAATCTATTTAGAAACACACAATCTGCTATACCACTTATGGCTAAACCTCTCCAATCCACTATTGACTTATTTACAGACTTAATTTGATCAAAACTGAAGTACCTGGTGGCTTGATCTGTATGATTTAAAACATTTAAATGAATAACTATAATTTTTTTTCTATTCCTAAAGAAAAATTTGAAGAAAGAAAAATGAGATCAAATATAATTCCCTTCTCTCTGGGGCAATGTACCAGGTATCTCTGTTTAAGGTTTTTGAATAAAGGTAATTTTTTTCTTACTGTAACAATATGTTTGCAAAATGTGTTAATATTTACTTGATACACACTTTTAAAAGTTATTTTATTAAATGGATTACCTAATGGAACTAAGGTTTTGTGATTCATTTTATTGTTGTCAATAAAGTATGCTTTATGGTTTTAAAAATTAAGATTATGCAACGTGATTATTTTCCATCTTCATTTTTAAGTAAAAAGGGTTTGTCCATTCTATGTTTCGAAGGGGAAAAGGAAGAAAATAAGCATTTGTATGGTACCTATCATGGCAGCCAGGTGGTGGAATGGATACAGTGCAGGGCCTGAAGTCAGGAAGATTCATCTTCCCAAGTTCAAATATGGCCTAGGACAATTATTAGCTGTGTGACGCTGGGCAAGTCACATAGCCCTACTTGCCTCAGTTTCCTCATCTGTAAAATGAGCTGGAGAAGGAATGGCAAACCACTCCAGTATCTCTGCCAAGAAAACCTCAAATGGGGTCATGAAGAATTGGACGTGACTGAAACAACTGAACAACAACAAAAATGTGCTAGGAACTGTACGAAGCACTTTTTTTTTTAAACAGATGTTATCTCATTTGAACCTCACAACAACCCCAGGAGGTAGGTGCTGTCATTATTCCTACTTCACAGTGGAGGAAATTGGGGCAAACAAAGGTTAAGTGACTTGCCCAGGGTCAAAGAGCTTGTCAGTTGCTGAATCTAGATTTGAACTAGGTCTTCCAGTTGAGAACCACTGCTACATAGAGGACTTACTGGAGGAAATGGACAAGAATAGTACAGTAGCCTAGACAGATGGCCACCTGCACCAATAGAGAGAGTCAACATTTACATCAAGGAGATCATAACAGCCACGTGAATATTAAAATAACATGGATAGAAAACACTAACTCATATTACTATATATTTACTTCATACTTTCATCAGAGAATAAAAACAATCAAGACTAAAAATATTCCTATCATTAAAGAGAATATTTTATCCCAGTCCTTCAAAAATATAAACTATAGAGATTTCCAGATAGAAAGAAGCAAATTGTTAATAAAAGTTCATTGGACTGGCCTATTTTCTTTGCATTTCTAAGAGGAAGATAAATATTTTTCCTCTGCTGATGATACTTATTCTATGTCTTTACTTAAGGCAGCTAAGTAGTACAGTGGATCGAGCACTAAGCTTGGCATTAGAAAAATGTGAGTTCAAATTGACCTCAGACACTAGCTATGTGACTTTGAGTAAGTCACTTAACCTTTCTCAGTTTATTCATCTGTAAAATGGAGACAGTAATAAAACCTACCTTCCGGAGTCATGAGGAGAAAATTTAGTAATTTTTATAAAGTGCTTTGTAATCCTTTAAGTGCTATATAAAGGTTATTATTGTTGTTGTTATCTGAACTGTGCACTGTAAGAAATACTTCTAAATCCAAAGAAGGAAAGTCCTGTTACAGACAGAATTTCCTCATTTTATACAGTAGGCACCCAATAAAATATTTTTGCTTGAATTAAAATCATCTATTCCAACCATGGCAGAATGGCTGAAAGCAGAAATTAGAGGAAGGTTGGAAATAATTAATGATCTAAACTTCTGGCTTTTACTTCGTCAGGTCTTCAATGTTGCTATATAACTTATTTTTACAGTGTTAATTATATAGAAGTAGTTCAAAAAACTATAGCAACTTCTTTTACATACTACTTCTTAACTGTTAAAAATATCTACTTCTCTTAAATCGTCTCTATATGTTATCTGACACAGAAATTACTGTAACCCAATGGGATATTAATTTTCAGATGTGCCTTAAAAGAACACACCAGAAATATTGGGGAAAGACATAATTCAAATTCAGATCAGTGTTTTGTTTTTGAGTCAGATCACAGAGCACAAAGTCAAGAGAAATAGTCTGCTAATACTTGCCTCTTGCAATCGAAAAACAACTGGAATTTTCCGTTCCGCACAGGCAGCTATAAAGTTGTCAGGAAGTAGTTGCCCATCTTTAAGGAACTGGTCATCTTTGCCTTGATCAATTAATATGTCCAACTGAGAATCTGGATATGACTTCACAAGACGAGTAGCATCATATGCCTGTAAATAAAAGGAAAATTTCAAAATTAATTTTTACAATGCTTAAAAAAGAAGATAATCTAGAATATGCAGTACTCTGGAGATAGTATATCAAAGTAAGCCATGTATACTTAATGGAGCTACTAGAGTGAAACAGAAATTAAAAGCAACCCAGATTACAAGGCTGATTAAATCTGAAACATTCTTTTAAGTCTCAAGTAAAGCTATTAAAGCTCTATATATCTCAAGATAATTTTTAAGGTTTTGGTTAAAAAGCCTCCTGGATTCTAGTTTCCAGTTTCTAGCCTCTTCCTTGCTTTAATTAATCCTCATAAAAGCAAAGATCATCTTCCTTGAGCACTCTTCGGCTCACACCCTTTCCTTGTAACTCTACAGCAACTCTTAGCCACCTCTCAAGCTCAATAAAAACATCAAATTATTTTTAAAGATGTTTCTAATTCCTTTATTTCCCTCCACACCTAGGTACTCTATCCCAACCAGAAGCACTGTTTATCCCCTCTACCAACCCCAGAAACACATACTAGTATTCTTCCATGTCTAGCCATACCATGTGACTTTTCTTTCTTCTCCCCTCTCCATGTATGAATAGGCAACTTCATTTATTTTTGTGCATATATATATGTGAGTATATATATGTATATGTATATATATATGTGTGTGTATATATACATATGTATGTATGTATGTATGTATCCCAGATAGAAATCTGTCTCTTAAAAAAAAAAACTGACTCCTCCATCAGGAACTTTTCATTCAAAATAGCACAAACGTTATTAACAAAGAAGACCCATTTACATATCTAGGCTCTTGTCAACGTCTGACTGAATACATAGCATTGTCACAGACACAATAAAGAGGTGGGTTAATCTAAATTTTACAAGAAATAATAGAACACAGGCTTTTTCTATTAGTAAGAAGTACAAGCTGCCTTTTCATCATTCAGGATTATTACTGGAATATCCTTTTCTTGGAGTATCTATTATAATTAATTACTGTTTAAAATCAAATCTTTCATCATATGTATATTCTAGTATGAAATTTATTCCTTAAATTTTAGATAGACCTCAAGGCACAGATAGGCACATATGATCTCTAGTTTGTATAATTTTTAAAATACTTTAATATATCGGGTATGAATTATTTAGTACTTACCTCCCACTTACTTTGATCTGTTCCTAAATATCCACTGAAGGCCTTTTTCCCCCAAGGACAGAGCATTGGATTGCAGATTGGAGAGAATGCTGACACAGACTTCAGAAACAAAGAAACCAAGTTTCAAAACCAGTCATTTTGGAAGGCAATATTTGAACTGACACGTAGAAAATGACTAAGAAGCTACTGACTCATGAAAAAGTTTGTGAACAATTTTCTTGAAATATCTTTGGCTTTGATTGTAAGTGCCTCAAAGGCCAGAACAGTCCACTGAATATTCTGGCAAACTGCTAGTAAAATTTTGGGTGCTGAAATAACACAAAGCAATAAATTATTATTCATCAAATAAGTATATTAGACAAAAGGAAGTTTATGTTTAGTACTTTTCCCTCTGCTGATTATGCCCACCAAAAATAAATTAACTTGTTGAGATGTCATAATAGACTTTTTGGTGAATAAATGGCATTTAATTTTAAAATACTCTGTTATTAAGAAAGATACATTGGAATTTAAATAGCATTATTACTAATAACGATACAAATTTTTCCATATTATTTTATACCACAAGGAAACATATAACTCAGCAAACATTTATCATGTTGTTTTATATGGATTTAAATTCAGAGTAGAGATATTTTATGCTTCAAAGAATTTCTATCTTATATCTTATTATAAGAATTTATACTTTATACATAATCTTGTAGTTTCTATTAGCTTTAATAATCTTTTTCAAAACACAAAAAATGTAAATATGCTCTATTTTTGGATTAGAGAATAGAAAACTGCTTTATTGCATACTGAAAAGGCGTTTGATTTTTTAAAAAATCTACCATGACAGGAAGATGGTTCAATTTCAAAACAAATCTTGCCAATAACAAAACATATCTTGCTGTAGAAAGAAGTCTCTATTACAAACATTTTCATCTCTGAATCAGAGATTTGGAATAACTTAGTAACTAATACCTTCAAGTTGGGTATATATTAAACAGACCATGAAAGTCCTATGATTTTAAGGCCAGAAGTTGCTAGCTCAACTTAGTCAAGAATTCAAAGCATAGCAGAATATTGTTACTGCCAAGGACCACATTAACAATTTCCTTTGCAACTCCCCATAGCACACTGTTCTCCATTATATAATGAGCTCAACATAGAGGATTCAAGGTTACTAACTAGCAAGAAAATATATAATACTTAGAATAGGCAAAAGAGAAAATTAAAACTTTTGCCTAAAGAATTTAGGACTGCTTAAAAATATGTTAATGAATAAAGAATCTCTACTGCTCTTATATGAAAGGAAAAGTGAATTAGACTAGAAAAGAAACTCAAATGACACTCAAATGAAGTCACTAAACAGTTAAGATTTTTACATGTTGAAACTAGTTTAATTATAGACATTAAATTTAGTTGTATTGCTATTTGGCATGAAGTCATAATAAATCACTAAGAAAAAGAAAAAAGAATCCCTAAACTATTACAAGCTAAGGACAGTTCCTTCTAACTCAGAAAATCAGAGTTAAATTTACCAAGCTGCTTCTGATAGAATGGTATGGGTAGTTATGGCATTCAGATCATTAATACCTGAGAATTAATTCCAAGAAGATAAGGTTTTTAAATGAACAAAAATAAGCAAATCAAATAATGTAGTGTAAAGAGCAATGCATATAAAGAGAGAGGGCTTGGGTTCAAATGCTGCCTAGGCACCTTAATATGTATGTGATCTTAGGCAAGTCACCTCTCTGGGTCCCAGAGTCATTATATAGAAAATAAGGCCATTGGACTCACTAGATGATCTCTAAGGTCCCTTCTAGCATTGAATCAGATTTCACAACATTTCTGGTGAATAACTAATAAAAGAGATTTATTTCAGCTATTGGTTAGATGAAACACCAATTTAAGGTGAGTACAAAATTGGGGAAAAAATGTATTTCACAGATACATACACATAGACAATAAGTAGGATCTCTGGAACTGAGGGTAGAATTTGCTTCTGACATTGTAGCAAAAATTTCCAATATAAAATATGAAGACATCTTTTTTATTTCTGATCACCGGCCCTGGAAAATTCTAATGTCAATACTACAAAAATAAATGATTTCCAAATTCAACCTTAATAAATCACTAAAAACAAATGTTAACCATTTTAACACTAAGATAATCTTACTTTGTATTTTCTAGGATTCTTCAAAGCACAAATCAGAGCTCCATGGCCTCCCATAGAATGGCCAAAAATAGATATCTTCTCTGGATCAGCTGGAAAATTGGCATTTATCAGCTTGGGCAGCTGAAAAAGATTAATAACATGACAAAAATATAAGTGAAATTTGGCTTCTTTCCAAAGTACACACAATAATACCACAAATAAATTAATACTGGTAACTGACTCAATCTATGCACAAGTTGATTAAATTTACTTTACAAATACTGATTACAGTTTTAAAACTTCATGAAAGAATAATAGTATTAAAAAGGAAAATATTGGCTATACTATAATGTCATAATGCTCAGAAGTGGTCCAAAACAAACAAAATAATAGAAAGTGAGACATTGATTATTGCCTCTGTTTCATTTAAAAGTCCAAAGTTTGCACTGACATCTCATTTAAGGAGATGAACTATTCTTACTTTAGTCAAAATTACTTCTCTATACTGGCCATTTCAAATAAAACACTTTGGAGAAAAGAAATGGTTTCTGCTTCTGTGTGGCCTTTAAAATATACTACATGTGGCTGGTACTTTTGATTCTCTTGTTTTTCTTAAACTGCTAAGGTTGTACCTCTACAAAGTCCTACTTATCACAGCATAAAGATTACCTTGTAAGCACAAGAGCTGGCAGGCAGCTCTACCATTCTAGGCAAGGCTTCAAGCAACCTGAAGTCCTGGCAAGAGACTACGCCTGCTTTCTGAGGGTCATATTGGTTAACTACAAAAGCCTGGCTATGTGGTGATGAATTTTTCAGCCACGATAACTCATAGAACAAAGAAATATATAAAATGGGGGCAGCTAGGTGGCGCAGTAGATACAGCACTGATCCTGAAGTCAGGAGGCCCTGAGTTCACATCCATTCTCAGACACTAGCCATGTGACCCTGGGCATGTCACTTAACCCCAAATGCTTCAAAAAAGGAAAAAAAATACAGGCCTGGGCAGGCCTCTTCTACCTGTACAGCAACAGCTACTGAACAAGGGAAAAGGGGGCAGATAGGGCACTCCATCACAGTTTTTAGATAGCCTAAAAACATTAAATTAATTTTCAGCACTCTAAAAGTGATAGTTCAGCCCAGTAACCAATGAGGGGCCATACTACTTAATGGAAGAATTGAATCATCAATATTGACATTCAGACTATAAATGAAACCAAAAGATAAAAGGAAGCTGCAGCTAAATGGAAAGATGGCAAAATAATAGAGAGGCAAATAAGGGAATTGGCAAAGTTGGTTTTACTGTGTGTCAAAAGGAAACACCATTTTATGAGAAACTGAAGTAATTTTATATTGCAGTGCTCATGACTAGTAGCTGGTAAAGAATAACCACCAATATAATTTTTGTAAGGGATGAGGAGGTTGAGAATTTTATTGAAAACTTAAAACCTTCTAGATTAAATTAATATCAATCAATTAGCAAGTACTTATTAAGCACTTCCAATGTGCTGGGCCCTGTATTAGATGCTATAGATAAAAACACAATGAATGAAACACTATCTTCTCGAGAAGCTTACATTCTAACATACTTAATAATTCTAACTTCAATGCACAGTTAGGCATATGGAAATACGGAGACAAAACATTGAAAAACATGGTTCATGAATAAGATAAAAGAAAGGCCAAAGTCTTGCAGATATATAGTCAAGCCTATATATTATGAATACTTTTTTTGAGAAGAGAGTTTAGAGTTGTTAGACATATGGCTAACATCAAATAATAACACAGACAAAAAAGAAATTGAATGTATTTGAGCAAAGAAGTGACTAGTTACCAATGAGTGAGTAATTCCTGAATCAGCTATTGGGTTACTACTGTCAGTTTTGTTAGACCAATGCTCACAATCAATATGCACTGGTCAATATAATTATTAAGCTATTCTGAAAAACACTTAGAAATTCTTAATAACAGGCCTACTTAAAAACCTTAATGGTCCAGACTTGTGATTTGATCAGTTTAGGGAGCTCTCAGGGACTAAACTCCTCTATCAATGCAGATCAACAACTATTCTACAACTTATAGACTCTGTGGGTTGCCTGGGGCACTGAGATATTGTGACTTATTTGTCCAGAGTCATACAATCAGCATGAGTCAGAGGAAGAACTTAAATGATATTCCTGATTCTAAAGCCAATTCTCTACTCTGGATGCTATGCTAGCAGCCTCTCATGGAAAACAATATTTTGAGAAAGTTTGATATTTTCTCTAACATGACCAATAAATGTACATAACATCAATTTAATAATACTCATCTTGACTTTAAGATCAAACCTTTCAAACAAAATCAAACTAAGATAGACAGTAAACAAATAAAAATAACTGAAGTGGGGGCAGCTAGGTGGCGCAGTGAATAGAGCTCTGGCCTTGGAGTCAGGAAGACTTGAGTTCAAATCCAGTCTCAGACATTTAACATTTATTAGCTGTATGATCCTGGGCAAGTCACTAAACCCCGACTGCCTCACCAGAAAAAAAAAAAGCAAAACAAACAAACAAAACTGAAGCTAATTATAAAAATATTAATTTCAATAGAATTACCTCATCTATTACATAAGAGTACATCCTATAGTTGGTTTTCCAAGGTTCTTCAGTGGCATTCACATAAAAACCAGCACCAGTACCAAAGTCCCAGCTGTCATCTTCTCCTTTAATATTACAGCCACCTATCAAAGCAAAATGTCATTGTTAAATGACCACTTGACATCATTACCACAGTATTTATTAATATTTTACATAGAACTTTGGTTTTTCAAGGTTCTTTCACATAGCTGACCTTACCTGGTTTGATCTTAACAAGACTGTGAGGTAGGCAAGGCAAACATTACTATCCATATTTTAAAGGTGAGGAACTAAGGTTCAGAGAGCTTAAGTGATTTTAATAAATGACATAGCTAGGATTGAATCCATATCTCCTGACTCCAAACAAAGGATGTTTTCCACTAAATAACATGGCCTATATGAGTCTAGAATTCAAATGCCTTTAAAACTGAATTAAAATCACTAGAAACAACACTATGTTCGTGTCCAGAAATCAAAATCAATCCCAGGTTTCACATGCATCCCTATGGGATTGTTTTAATGAAAGCACTTTGTTAAGCTATTAAATACACTACAAATGTGACCTAGGACAGTTAGTATAATTGCATTAATGAAGGAAGTTTCCAAACCAACAGCTCCTCATGATAATGAAATCACAGGTTAGAACCAAAAATTATTATTACAGTGTTTCCAAGGGCATGGAGCAGGTAGGTGGCACAGTGGATAGAACACTGGGCTTGAGTTCAAATCCAGTTTCAGATACTTACTAGTTATCACTTAATCCTGTTTGCCTCAATTTCCTCACCTGTAAAGTGAGCTGGAGAAGGAAATGGTAAGCCACTCCAGCATCTTTGCCAACAAAACCCCAAATTGGGTCATGAAGAGTCATATACAATTAACCAACTAAACAACAAGAGTGCAGAACTTGTGCAAAATATATGGGTCCTGAAATTGGTAACAATAAAATCTCAGGTATCTTTAACATATACTTTGTCTTTATTCTTTGGCAGTGTCGAGGAGCTGAGAAATAGTGTTAAAAGAGACCACACAGCAGGGGTACGTAAACTGAGAGAAAGTGTAGTTAAATTTTATTGTCTGTCTCATCATTGGAGTGCCAGGTAACAAGAAAAGGAGAGTAGAGAGAGAATTTAAGAGGGATGAAAGAGAGGTGGTGGTGGTAGTTGGGGAGCAAATAATATAATGGTGAGTACCAAACTTCAGATATACTCTTCAAATACTGTACTGTAAAGTGCAATTATTTTGTAATTCCTTCATGTGGTTACTATATATTACAGCTTTTTGTTATCGTGTCTTATCTCTCTACTAAACTACCAGATCTTTGAGGATAGATGTTGAATCTTACCTAGATGCTGTATTTTTTTTAAGCACTGTTATTCTGTACTGTTTCACAGTCTTTGTACCTCTAGTATCCAGCATATGATAAATGCTTGCCGATTATCTCTGAGTAGGAATAACTTTCTTCTACTTGACAGGTATCTGAGACTAGTAGGCTCAATTGGTGAAAAGCGTTGTGAAAATGAGGACAAAGTTATATGTTCAATCTCTCAGTAATTTGGTCTACTATGGTCTACTCTTTGACCATAGACTGCACATTACCTCAGGCCCACTCCCTTGAAAAAACAAACAATAGGAGAGAGTGTCAATATAACCATTCCCATTACTGCAAAGACACCACAATTCACATAGTGGGGGCTTAATAAACATTTGTTGAATTACTAACACCTTAGTAATAGTCCGTTGTGTTATCTTTGTGTTACCTTTGTCTAAAAGGCAGCAAAACACATAGAGTTTTAATCGGGAAAGAATTGATAAAACAAATAGTGCTTTAGAAGGTTTTTGAGAAATCAGAAGGAGAAGGATTTGGAGTTTTAAGATGAGTATGAGAAAGTGTTATCAGTAAGAAAATTTAGAATAGGCAATTAACAGAAGTTAAATGCCTAATGGTGTCCTTTAATAGCTACGATTAGTCCAATCCACTCTCCAACAGTTAAATATTACACAAAGAATGGATATATACAGGTTAAAAATAATATTCACTAAAAAAAAAAAACCCAAAAACAAAACCCACAGTACATGAAATTATGCAATCTATTTTTTTTATCTTTTAGCAATTATACCAAAGAGGGACAAATTCTATGGTTTTACAGGTTACCAAACAGATTTTTCTTCTGTTGTAAAATTACTTACCATACTAGTTTTCACATGTTTTCCTAAACTTTTACTGGCTAACAGCAAAGGGCTGTACTTCAAAGAGACTACCACAAGGAAACAATTTATAGATACAAGCTACTTTAAATATATTAAATGATATCAAGTCCTTGAAAGATTATCACTGTTAGCTCTAAAAAATAATATGATTATACAAATCTCAAATAACAGGGGTTTTCTCCCTGGTTTCAACATAGATCTTATTAGTAAGAAAAAAGAAAATTAGTAAGATCTTATTTGATTGAACTGTTGCTAATTAGGATTCCTTCTAACATCTTAAATACTGCCACTCCTTGATTCTTATGTGCTCCTTCAGATTCTTGAAGATGATTTTCTATTTTCCACATGGCTATTCTTTTAAAGATATAAGTATTCTTTTCTCACCTCATGTCAATATCTCCCCCTATTATTTACAGTGAAAAGGTTTTATGCTTATAAAATATGAATTATTCTATCTCATACCATACTTGTGTGTTTATCTTCCCTACTTACTAGACTACAAACTTGTTGAGGGGAAAGACTAAAAATTGTTGTCTGACTTCTCTTGCATTACTCATAGTGTCTGGAATAGACCTTTGCACAGAGTGAGCAGGAGCTCAATAAAAATTTGTTGAATTAAACTAAAAAACAGAATAGGCAAGCCACTCTTTGTATGTTAGGCCAAATAAAAATTTAGCCCCAAATATGGAGATGATGTTACACAGAGAATCTCTGCCACAAAATACTTACGTGGACTGGTGTCTGGTGCAACGACAATGAGGCCATGTTCTGCTGCAGCTTGGTGATAACCAGCTTTAGTGATAAAATTTTGTTCTGTGCAAGTTAAACCTGAAGAACAAACATAATGATGACATTATACACTACGTTATGTGTTCAAAGTTTTTACCTGCCTACAATTACAGCAAATTTACCCAAACCATGAGTCATTTAAGGCAGGGGTTCTTAACCATTTTGGTATCATGGCCCCTCAGGCTGTCTGGTGAAGCCTAGCTTCTCAGAATAATATTTTAATAAGGCTACAAAGGAAACTAATTATACTGAAATGTAATTATCAATTTTTTTAAACAAATTCATGGACCCCAGATTAAAAAATCCAGGTTTAGGACTACCAGTAATTCTGTGCTATGCAACTTAAAAGAACTGGCTCTCTTTCATTTAACATTTATAGCTAAATGTACCTCATCTTATTGCGGATCTCTAGATTTTGGTGTTGGAACTGCCCCTACCAATAAAAGTCACAACTTAATAAGCAGACGTCTTAGTGAGTGTGTGAGGTTCAGAAAGACTATGAATTGTCCACAGTCATAGAGTTAGTAAGTGTTAGAGGTAGGATTTGAACCCTGTTCTTCCTGAGTCACAGCAGCACAACCGGATCTTACCACTAAATACAGACAACTCACTGAGAAAGGAAAAGTGTTGGTGGTAGCATTTTGCCTTCTCTAAAGTGAGACCTAACTCCATTTACTGATGTTCTTCTATCACTATGTAGTATGATTATCTCTATTCCATATTATTGTGATTAGTATATGATTATAGTATGATAATCCCTATTTCATATTATTGTGATAAGGGATAAAACTAACTTTAACTAATGTAACTCTAGGATAATGTAACTATGGATAAGGCAGCACTGAGCTGGGATCGGATACTTTGGTTCAAAGCAAACCAGTCCCAGCCATTTATATTACTACCCTGCAATTAGCAATGTCAAAGTCTAATAATTTATGTAACAACTGAGTGTGGATCAACTTGTTAACACCTTATGAGGAAGCATTCCAAATATCTGAGTGGAATCATTACAGACATAAACAATTCTAGTCACAGATCTTAGGTGTAAGTTGAGGTCCCTAATTACATACTATATCACTTCTCTATGAATCTCTCAGAGATACACAGAAACCCTCTGGAGACAGTTGCATAGACAACTGGCAATAAAGCAGCAAGTCTGTCTATCAGAAATAAAATAGGCTCTCTAGTAGGATTTCAGATGGTCTTTCCCCTTTGGAACACAATGGGAAATATGGAGTCCCTTGAGCTGAGAAAATAAGGTTCATTATGATGAATTTAGAATAATTCCTTGAGGAAAAAGATACCATGGTATGTATTATGTGGGGAATCACAGAACTACTGACCTGAAAAGAACCTTACAGATCCATCTAGACACTATCATTTGACAAATGAAAAAACTGAGGTTCAGAGAGGTTAAATGAGTTACCTAAATCAATATAATTAGCTAGTGGCAGAGATAAGATTAAAACTCAAGAAAGAGGAGCAGTTTTTCCCAAATAAAGTCAATATTTTTGAGTCTTACTGTCTCATGAGAATAATGGTACCTGTTAACTCCACTGTAAATCTACTCATGTAATCATAACTGACTTTACTTTTGGGCTAATTTGATGTCACTGTATATAACTGTGGTCTGAGGGACCCATACCTAAGAGCCGTGTGTCATCTTTTAACCTTTTGGCTCATACACTGTTTTAATCAAACCAAATTTCATCATGTTAGCATTTTGCCTGTCTTCCCTGTGAGAATATCCTCCACTGGATTACTAAAGCAGATACACTGATCTGCTGTAAGAATTTTTCACAAGTGCCCTGGATTTTGACTCTGTTTCATGAATCCAGTTGCTAAGGACTAACTCTACTCTAGGATCTCAATGCTAAAGACTGTTCCAACATCTGATGTAAACAAATTTTTTATATCCATAAAAAATCTTGATGGTATTCTTAGATAGGTTTTAATTCTGGTCAAGAATATGATATTTTGTTATTGTCATGAACTACTTATATACAATACAGTAACTTTTTAAATGAGGTTTGTTATCCTCTAAATTAAGAATATATCACTTTGGCAGCTCTTGTTAGAACTTAAATAAAAACAGAACGGAAGGAAATTGCAACATTTCACACTTTAGTTTAACATAATTTCAGTCAATTGTTTATATAAAAAAATTTTTTTTAGCAATGCACTTCTAGGAAAGTCCAAAATGCTGATATACCCACAGAAAAACTTTCTTAATGAGACTGAAATCAGATTTTTACCTAATTTTTAATGTCATCTATATGATTTTGGAAAAACTGCCATTGTGCATCTAGTTTCTGGTGAGAAATAAAAAACCGAAGCCTTTTTATGTCAATATTGATCATGATTAATAAAAAATTAAAAGAAAATGTTATGATATGGCATGGCCCTATAAGAATAGTATCAGGAGCAATAAAACTCAGAATGAACTGAGACTGGCAAGGAATAAAGTCAGCCCAGAGGAATTTTTAAAATAGTCTTACTAGGGGGAAAAAGGGGGGCATGGAGGAGAAGTAGTGTTGCTCAGAGTAGAAGAAAGAAGAACTACCCAACTTTCATTTTACATTCAATTTATACTGCCAAGGGGAAAGATCCATGGAGTAGAAAGAACATCATTTAAATTGTTAATAGGAAGTTTAAACCCAAAATAGACAAGGAAATAATAAGAATCCACCTACTTTCATTTAATGAGTTCAAGTCACTAGAGTACTAAAAGAACTGGGAGATATGACTACTGGGCTTCTATCCTTAATCTTGGAAAGATCATGTTCCAATTTGCAAAAGAGAAACATTAAGTTTGACTTTGATTCCTGGCAAAAATCTAGAACATAATATTAAGGAATGGTTTTGGATCATCTAGGGAACATCTTTCTTTACTAGAAAGCCACGATCTCTTAGCCCCAGGAAGAATAGGACACAGCAAATTAAGCTCAAGTACTTTTTGGAAAAGGATACTAAATTAGAGGATTAGGGGACTGCTGAACACATAGTATAAACAGACTTCATCAAAGGATCTGACAGTATCAATCTATCCTTACGGACAAGACAGAGAGATGTACAAGTGGGCACAGTTGAATGGTCATATCCAAAGAATAAGTCAATTATCAACTTGGAGGGGGATCACCAGTGGACTGTTTCAAGGATACATGTTCTTAACCCTCTGCCATGTTCACCACTTTTATCAATGATAGATAAAGCCAGTGAAGAAGCTTCTTATACATACAGATGATAAAAAAAAAAGCTAAGGACACCTAAGATATTGGATGACATAGTAAAGATTTTAAAAGATGTTATCAGGCTAAAATGATGGGCTAGAAACCTCTGAGAACATTCTACAATACAACTACCCAAATGTGGAATGGGTTTTCTGAGAAGATCATGGGGGCAACCTTCACTAGAATTCTTAAAGTGGAGACTGGATGACCACTGCTTGAAGATGTTGAAGAAATCAGGATCAGATACAAGTGATACTACATGGCCTTTGAGGTCTTCTCCAACTCTGAGCTTCTGCAATTCTTATGAGTTTTCTAGAAAAATCTGCCAAGCAGTTGTAGAAATGGTTCTATCATTTTTCACTAATAGATTTTAAAGAGCATTGTCAAGAACTTATTTTTCTATATTAGGTATTATGAGTTCTACTATCTTTTAATATTTTCCTCTTGATTAGGGAAGTCTTTGTACTATAAAAGTGCTTGAAAGAAGTAGAAATTAAATAACTAACTTTTCAAAGCTCCTTTCATCAGAGATATTACTATACTTTGTCTTATTATCTGGATAAACTGAAAAAAATGAGCAGCAAGGAAGTTAACGTTCAAAACTGAAAAGTTTAAATCTGTGCCTTGACTAGGGGATCTAAAAAGAATAAGATTACTTCTTGAAGGCAAAAGTTCTAAATTGCCACCAAACAATACCAAAAATTCCAAATATACTCACCAGACAGCCAGTAAAGTACAGGACATTTTCCAGTTTCTGCCTTCGGTGGTAAGTAGATTCCAAATTTCATTTTGCATTTTAGTTCCACACTGTTTCAATCAAATATATTTAATTAATTTTTCTTTGTGGACAAATCTCAAATCATGCAAGAAAAGTACATTAACACTGAGGCTGTCCATTGTAAGCTCCCTCTTTATTTATATCCTCCTCCTCTGTTTCAGTCGTCAGAAGAGGTGAGCCTTCTCCTTGCCAGGGCTGACTTCTACTTGTGCCCTTGATTCTTCTTTGAGACAGCTTGACCCACGGATCTTTCTACCCACCTACCCCTTCTCTCTAACATTCAATTTTTATCTCTAGCTCCTTCTCCACTACCTATGAAAATGCCTAGGTCTTCCCCAGCCCTTATTTAACCCCTTAAGCTATCGTCTTATAAGTAAGTATCCTTTTCCCTCTCAAACTTCTCAAAAGAGATATCGACACTCACTTGCTTCTTCCACTTTCTCAATATCCACTTACTTATAAACTCCTTACAATCTACCATCTGACTCCATTAATATAAAGAAATTGCTTTCAAAGGTTACTAGTGATCTCTACACTGATCAACACAAAAAAACTTGTCAGTCCTAATCCTAATTGACTTCTTAGGAACTTCTGACAGTGATGACCACCCAATCTTCTTGCATACTCTTTCCTCCCTTGATTCCCTCTATACTGTTCTTACTTGGCTCCCCTACCTTTCTAATTTCTCCTTTTCAGTCTCTTGTTTTGGGCCATCACCCATCTCCCTCCTAGTGAGCACAGATATCTCTCTAGGTTCTGCCCTAGGCCCTTCTATCTTCTCTTTATATGCTCTCCCCCTCAGCAATTTCATTATCCCTTATGGTTCCATTATCATCTCTAGATAGATGATTTCAAATCCACATATCTACCCTAACCTCTTTCCTGAGCTTCCATATGAATGCTAGAAATCTGGATGCCTGCCCTACTGGCATCTCAAATTCAATGTATCCAAACTGGAACTTATTTTCCTTAGTCTCTCCTCAAAAACTGTATTTTGAGTACCAACATTCTCCTATTTATCCAGACTCCTAAAAATGTTATTCTAGACTTCTTCCTCCCCTTATTTCTCCCCATATCCAATCACTTGACAAGTCCTATTAATTCTACCTCCATCCCTCATATTGTCCCTTTCTCATTTACAGAGCCACCGTTTTGTTTGGTCAGGCTCTAATCATCTCTTTCTTGGATTATTACCTTTGTAACTGCTGTCTCTGTTTCTCTGGATCCTCCATAAATCTGCCAAAATAATCTTCAAAAGCATATGACTATGAGGAAGTCACAGCCTCTTGGAGCTTGAATTTCCTCACTTATAAAGTGGATATTAATTACTATTACTGTAACATGTAACTTGGAGATTTGTTGTGAGGAAAATCCTTTGTAAAACTTAAAGTACTATATGAGTATGAGATGTCAGCCCCATGTACACAAACCTTCCTCATTACTTCTAAGATAAAAGCACTTTAGCATCTCTCACTCCAGCCTACCTTGTCTGCCTTATTTTTCTTTACTCTCCTTCTCTCACACTATATTCCAGACAAACTGGACCATTCTGTTTCTAAAACTCATTCACATGCCCCTAGATTTAGAATGACAGAGACCTTAAGACATCATCTGGTCCAATCTCCTCCCTCTTTCCAGGAGGCATCGAACAAGCCATCCTCCAAGTCTAAAAAACACTCCCCGTGCTCACCTCCATGGCTCAGACTCTTATTTTCCCTTTATGCTTACTTCAGGTACTATTTCTTCTGGGAAGCCTTCCGTAGACCTTCCCCTCACTCTCCTTCCCCAGTTATTACTTTGTCCTTCCTCATGTTACTTTGTATTTAGTTACTGGTATACATGCTGTATCATACCTCTCCCCCCAAAATCTAAGTCAAATAAAGAAATAGACTCAAGGATACTTAAAATTATATTTGACACTGGTACAGATGACATTTATTAAGTTACCTGTCATGCTCATAAACTTTCTGAAATCCCTCAAAGCACTTGTTGCTGGAAATCTGTTTCAAGGCCATAGTTTCTTTGCTATTAATAAAAAGAAGTTAACATAAACTTTGTTAGTTTCTAGATAATAAGCTTTTGAAGATACAAACATAATTTCTCAGTCATATGCTTAAACAAATCCTTGAAACATAACTATTTTCAAAATCACTCACTCAGACACAAAGATTAGCACAAAAAAATGGCACTGAAAAAAAGTACTGCCCTTTTTTTTTGCCACTTCAAATTAAAGCACTTGGGGATGTCATTACTAAAACACGCTAATCTATTATTTTAGTCTTTGTTGCCATTTTTTAAGGCAATTGCCAATAGTCAAAGTGTCAATCAAATAAAGCTGAGATATTGATTGACTGGTTATTGAATAAGAGAAAATGGATCGTGATGTGATAATCAATTAGAAATTATAACACTCTTATTAATTGGATTTTGTGAAGAAAAAGTGTTGAGTAAGTTTATGAAGCAATTTTCTACTTGAAGATAGTGATAAATAAATTTTTAAAAATCAACCACTCCAAGTTGCCTTTCATTTTCTTTCTATGGAAATAAATGGCAGCTAACTTGCAAATGTCCTTAGAATGGTGGGAAGATAAAAAAAGCAACTAGTTCTGAGCGCCCTGGCTCTGTAATTTTCTAGATGTATACTAGAAGCAAATTCCTTAACCTCTATGAGACTTAGTTACACCTTTTATAAAACAGTCATGACAGTACTTTCATAGCTTCCCTCATACAGACAGTGTGAAAAACAAGTGAGATCATTCATATAAGGTGCTTTGTAACTGGAAAGTGAGGAACTGGGACATGAGTTAGCATTCATAGAGGTTGATAGGTTGGGTTTTTTGTTTGTTTTGTTTGGTTTTTTTGGTGCATACCCAACAATAATTCAACACAAGAGCATTTACTTTTTACATGTTACATCCATATAAGAAGCAAAAAACAATTCTTATTAAAAACTATGATCAGAAAAAAATAAAATCTAAATAAAGAGTACTCATTGTCACCATATCTGGTAAAGAAAGATCAGGCCTCATTAGGAAAACAATAAGATGACTACTTTGGAATACTGTAGTTAACGCCTTTCTCAGACATATCACAGATAGAAAAATTGAGATTTAGAGGATGAATGAAAATGGGGAGGTAACAGAGCACCTATGCCCCAACACATCATCCAATCCTGGAGGCAGATGGGGGAGGTGGACCGAATTCTGGGTAAGTGTGAAGAGACCTAAGATCAAACTCTAGTTCTACAACACACTATCTGTGTGACATTAGACATGGCTCTTCATATCTCTGAGTCTCAATTTTTTCCTCTTTACAATGAAAGAGATACATTCAGTATTAAACGTCACTTGCAATCCTAACACTTCTCAAATCTATGTCTTACTGTCCTTCCTGAAGCCTTTCAACTAGTACATTTCTGAAAATAATTTTCTTTTCAATCTTTATTATTCAATTAATTTTTTTTAGCATCTGCTTATTGACACTGAATTTCAAATATACCTTTTTCTAAGTCTAGTGCTCATGAACTGTGTTTGCATTAAAATATGTAAGCACCTTGAAGCCATGGACTAGTTTTTGTTGTGTCTTTCTATCCCCAGCACCAATCAATGTCCCTAACATAGGTAGTTTATAAGGCTAATTGAGTTAAATTGAAAGAGTACTTCAGACAATATTAAAGCAGCAAAAGCTACAGAAAATAAGTGAACCACCATTTCTCAAGTTATCTCACTTCAAAAATGTACAATATTGCCATTATGATTAGTTGTGAGTTGGGAAAAAGCAATCTCATTTTCAAAAAATATAGATAAATGACCAATCTTAGAAACTCAGATTTTAAGTAATTAAATTGACACAATTTTCAATATTTCATTTTATATTAAGGAAAAATAGGTCATCACTCAAACTCTCTTTAGGAAAAGATATGCAATCTAAGATTGGAAGGATTTTTAGATAGTGATGGCATTTCTATTGAGTTTAAATACGAAATATCTCTATGCACAAAGAAATTATACTCAAGTCATAGTCTCCAGTTTCTCTACCTAAAAATGATAACCTTTTATATACAACAGTCACTTCTTTATTTTTAAAAATTTTAATGATCATTAACCTTTAGTTTTTTACATCAAATTTTTAAAAAATGTATTATTTATTTTTAACCTCATTTTTTTTTAATTTTGAGTTCCAAATTCTATTCTTCTATCTCATCCTCCCCTACCCACTGGAAAGGCAAGAAATGTGACATCAATTATACCAGTAAAATTACGCAAGACAAATTTCCATATCAGACATTTTGCCAAAAAAAAAAAATTATGCTTCAATCTGTACTCAGACTCTATTAGTTCTTTCTCTGGATGTGGATAGCATTTTCCATCAGGAGTCCTTTGGTAGTGTCTTGGATCATTGCATTGATCAGAATAGCTAAGTCATTTACAGTTGATAATCCATACAGTTGATAAGTCCATATAAGTGCTTCCTTTATCTTTGATCTCTTTAGGATACAAACCCAATAGTGGTATTGTTGGGTTAAAAGATATGCACAGTTTTAGAGCCCTTTGGGCATAATTCCAAATTGCTCTCTAGAATGGCTGAATCAGTTCACAACTCCACCAACAGTGCATTAAATAGTATCCCATATTCCCTGCAACATTTGTCATTTTTCTTTTCTGTCATATTAACCAATCTCATATGTATGAGAAGGTACATCAGAGTTATTTTAATCTGTATTTCTCTAATCTATAGTGTCTGAGTATTTTTTATATAATTATAGATAGCTTTGATTTCTTCTGAAAACTGCCTGTTTATACCCTTTGATCATTTATCAACTGGGGAATAGCTTTTATTTTTATAAATTTCACTCAGTTCCCTATATATATCTGAGAAATTAGGTCTTTATCAGAGAAACGTGATGTAAATTTTTTTTTCCCATTTCCTGATTTCCTTCTAATCTTGGCTGCACTGATTTTGTCTGTGCAAAACTTTTTAACTTTAATGTAATCAAAATTTTACACCGTATGATCCTCTCTATCTCTTGTTCAACCATAAATTCTTTTCTTATTCACTGATCTGACAGGTAAGATATTCCATGCTCCCCTATTTTGTATATCACCCTTTATGTCTAAATCATGTACCCATTTTGACCTTATCTTGTACGCTAATAGTTTCCAAATAAATATATTCCCAATCCCAAATGGAACCTTTACATTTAACAAAGAAAAACTAACCTACATAAGTGGTCTGAGAGAAGGTGAGTTCCTTAAAGGCTGAGACCACATCATTTTGTACCCCCAGGACTTAGCACATGGTACAGCACTTAATAAATGCTCATTGATTGACTGCTGGGTCTATCTTTTTAACAAACACATAAAAAATGACCTCATACTTCCCAAAGGAGGTACAACTCAATGATAAATAAGATTATTTCCCAAGGAAATAGGAAATAAAAATAGTTCATTATTTCACTGGAAAACCTTGCTTTTCAACGTCTACTGCCATTCTAGTTACATTTTTGGAGTTTCTGAAGAGATCAAATGTAGGAAAGCTTTATAATCAGCTTGCCTTTTTTTCCTCATTTATGGTACACTGATTTGCTTTTCAATTACTTAAATAAATTTGCACCAGAGTGGCCTTTTTCCTTGCTTATAGAATTCTTCTTAGTGTCAATTTGAAATCAAAATAAATGCTTTATACTTAGCTTTGGGGAAAAAGCAAATATGAAAGCTTAAGAGCACAATGCCTTTTTAGGTTATTTTAAAAACTACTTTACTTTCAATTCCAGAAACACGTACCTCATGTCTATTCTATGCAAGGTAATGTGCTAGAGGTTGAAATTCTTTTTTTCTAAATATTTTTTGAAACTAGCCTTAAAATTAAGAGAACAGGTCGTAAAAGAAGAAAACTTTAAAGCTGCGTTGTGAAAGAAATATTTTTCAGCAACAATATTATATGTGAATAAACAGTCGTTTTCAATGTCAGTTATTAGATTTTTAAACTGAATTGCAGTGTGAAGTGTTCATTGTAATACTTGAACTTACTTACTCAGTTGCTACTGTTTTCCCACTCGCTGACACAAGGTGACTGACAGAAGGTGTATGATCCTGCCACTGAAACACAGAAGAATTTACATAATGGAAAATATTCTTGATAACAAAAAGAGACACACCTTTGTAACACACATTTTGTACATGCTAAATAGACATATTTGACTATAGGACAAGGGGGCAAAGTAGAATGAGTGATGGACTTGGAGTTAATACACCTGGATTCAAATGTTATTTCAAATACTTACTAGCTATGTAATTATTGGCAAATCCCTTAACCATTCTGAGCCCCATTTTCCTTATCTGTAAAATGGGAATAAGATTTGCATTACTTCCTTCACAGGGTTGTTCTAAGGAAAGTGCTTTACAAAACTTAAGGTGTAATATAAATGTTGAGTTACTGCTGTTCTTATTTCAAAGCAGGCTTTTATTCTACAATTATTGAACTGAATCATGTACTTAATGGCTTTACATGCTGATCAATCTGAAGGCAGATGTATTAGCAGCATTACACAGTCATAATCCATAGTTTGTCTCTCTTCTCAATTTCTGACCTGTACTCAGTTTGGGGTCAGGTGTTGTGCCAACAGGGCTTGACACCAGGTAAAACATTCTTGATGGTGTAGATGATAACTCAGAAAACAAGTCTTTTAGATGATACAAGTTTTAAATATGGAAAGTAAGAAATGAAAAGAGGAATTAAGTCTGAATGCTTAGGTTAAGTCTTGCAAGTCTTTCAAGAAAAATAATCTGAAGTACTGTAGTCACTAAATTAAAACTAGATATAGTTTGCAGAACAGTGTTTCTGTGTATATCTCTTACAGAAAAGTATAAATTCTGTTGGCTAAATTTATGTAATTCTTTTAAGAATTATATTAATGACTCTAAATGGCTTATTCCTTGCATACTTTTCCTTGCTGTTATTCATTTAGTTATTGTAGCTTTGTAAACTAACACTAAGCAATTGTAATTTTTCTATCTGCCTCGCTTTCATTCTTACTAGAAGATAAGGGCAAAGTCTATTAAAATTCACAAACGTTCTAGGTAAGTTTAGGCCACTATATTTTATATCAAACATTATGCTCCATTTCACCTTGACAGGAGAAGATAAAAGGACAGTGAAACATGTAATTTTTACTGCACTGGTGTTTTTTTGCAATCCTGATTCAGAAGGAAAGATGGGCAAGCAATGCTCTTCACAAAAAAAAAAATATTTTATGAAAACTTTCTTCCCAACAAAATATCAATGCTAGTTGTACACATGTTTATATACGACTACCTTTGGTTCATAGACCAAAGAATTTGATGGACTACTGGGTTTTTTTGAAGATGACTCAACATTTCAGCATCATTAAAATCAATCAATCTAAGTGGTTAAATAGAAAAAAAACCCACCAAAAACCCTAAGTTAAGAGTAAATATACAAGCTGCAGTTTCACAAATCAAAACTTTACAAGTTTATTTTTTAGAGTATGCTGGATTTTCCTACTGGGATAAAAGCATCAAAATTTGGGGTAGTCTTCATCTGATAACTTTTATGATACCAAATACTGGATGTGGGGCAGGTGGTGATTTTTCCTTTTTGCTCAGTATAGCGATTATCCTGAGGGGAAGGAATCAAGCATTTACTAAGCTAGTATTTATACAGTACCTTTGTGCCAGGCACTGTGCTAAGCACTTTATAAATATTATCTCATCTGATCCTTATAACAACTCTTCCAGGTAGGTGCTAATATCATTCCCATTTTACAGTTCAGGAAACAGAAACTGATAAAGTGTCCAGGGTCACACAGCTATTACTGTGTCTGAAGTTACATTTGAACACAAGTCTTCTTGACTTTAGGCCTAGCACTCTATTCTCTGGACCATCTAGCTGCCCAGCTATTACCTATTTAGTATGGGGCTAAAAGACCAATCACTTTGCTGCACTCTTGCTTTAATCACTCACACACACACCCACACACACACACACACACACACACACACACACACACACCCCCAACAAGTTCAAGGTCAACATCACCACCTTTATTCCTCTGTACCACCTCTTTTTTCCAATCAAGTAGAACTCCCATGTTACCTACTCATTTTTCCTTTTTTTTTGCCTTTACGAAAAGCATTCTCTTCAGAATATTCTTCACCAATCTATGTTTACTACTCTTTAAAATTTAGTTCATGAGCCACCTCCTCTCAAAACTTTCTATTATGATTCTACTCTAGCTCTAAATGTCCTCAGAACAACACATCCCTTCCCATCCCTCCTGACCTCCTTCCCAAACTTTTAATCTCATATCTCTAACTGCCCACTAGATACTTCCACCAAAATAACACTTAAAAAAAAATCAACATATATGAAATCAAACTCTTGATCTTCTTTCAAAGCACCTCCCCCTCCAGGCTTCCCTATTTCTGTCAAAGGTACTAGTATTTTCATAGTACCTAGGCTGGAAATTTAAGTCATTTTTGACTCTTCCCTCTCCCCTGACCTCCATAGCTAAGAAATCATTAAGTCCTATCAATTCTTTCTTTCAAGTCTCAGTGCCATTTCTAGGCCTCCATCTCATGCTTAGCTACTGCAACACCCTCCTAACTAACTTAACTCCTAACCTAACACAACTTCTACCCTTTTCCAATCCACCCTGCACAAAGCAGCCTAATTTCCCTCAAAGAAGACTTACATTACAACCTTGCTCAAATGCTTTCACTCTCTCCCCCAATTTAACTATAAAATGATGGGGTAGTTCTCTAGACCAACACTAAGTTCTGTCTGGTTCTATAATCATGTATAGATTTATCCTGAAAAACAACAACTCTCCCTTGCCCTTTAAGGTCTTCTTTCTTCCTTTTACCTCCAAAGTTTTCCCAAAAAGTCCTATTTCCTCACCAATCACTCATCCTTCAAGCTATGCCTTAACCACCTTAAGACTGTATTATCCAATGCCTCTTCTCAGTCCTCATCTTTCCTGCCCTCTAGGGAATATTTAGAACTATTCAGCATGCCTTCCTTGGTTTCTGTGAAACAGGTATACTCTTCCTCCTATATCTCTGATCACTTCATCTCTAACTCCTTTGCTGATTCCTCATCCTCCTTTGACTGTCTAAATAAAGGTATTCCACAAAGTTTTTTTCCTCATATTTCTTCCCTTTCCTCATGATCTCAGCCATTCCTGTGGCTTCAGCTATGTAGATGACACCTCAATTTTATTTTCATCCCATCTGTCCTAAGCACTACTCTTAGATTTCCAAATGCCTGACAGGCATTTCTAACTGGACATCACACCCTTCTATAGCTCAGATCAATATCCCCCAAATCATTCTCTCAAGCACCCAGGCTTAAAACCTCTCCTTGTCCTATCAAATCAATCACCAAATACTGCTAATTCCTCCTTCAAAAATGTCTCTCATATCTGCCATTACTGCCACTACCACACTAATTCAAGTCTTTTACCAGCTCACATTTGACATAGCTTCTTAATCTATCTCAGACTTATTTCTTGAACTTCCCATGAATGGTGCACAACCTGCTGGAGTAATCTTCCTCCAGAATGGCTTTGATAAAGAGAATACTGCATTAGTACAGCAGAAAAAACACTGGTTCTGAATTCCTATGTTGCTTTCTTCTCTGAAAAGCAAAGGCGACTAGCCTAGATCAGTGGTGTCAAACTCAAATAGAAACAGAGGCCACTAAAACACACATAAGGATCCCTGCAGTTGTACTGACACCTCTGGACAAGATAACCTGTGTGGTTCCTTCTGGCTGGACAGCTATGATCTCATTAAATAGACTTGGCTTCTAGTCTTGGCCTTGCCGCTAACTAGTTTTGTGACTTTGGGCCAGTCACTTGATCACTGTAGTCTTTAGTTTCGTGGTAGAGTGACCAAAGGAAAGTACTGCATGCTAATGCCCTTCCAAAACTGTGATGCCCTAAAATGAACACAATTCTACAAATAGGCTAACCAGGATGAGTATAACAGGGCTATTTCCTTCCCAGTTCTAGCCAATATGCTGTCTGAATAATTCAAGTTTCATAGGATCATTGATTTCAAATTGGAAGGACCTTAGGGATCATTTCCAACATCCTCATTTGACAAAGGTGGAAAATTGGGGCTCAAAAAGTGCCAAGATTTAAAGTGAGTTCCTCGGATTCTAAATACAAGGCTCTTTCCATTGCTTCTCTAGTTATGTATCTCACTTTTAAGTTAAAAGCTGCAATAATTAGGTTAGTCTCCCCACAAATCTTTCCTCACTCTAATCCATCCCTCTACAAGGCTATCAAAACAATATTCCAAAAGCACAGATTTGACCTCATCACTCCACCTCTGTTTCCCATTCAATAAATTCCAATGACTCCTATTACCTTCAGGATCAAATATAAAATTCTGTTTGGCTTTTAAAGACCTTCATTGGCCATTTTCTACCTTTCCACTTTTCTTGCACCTAACTCCCTTCCACATTCTCTGTAATCCTGTGACATTGGGTTCCCCGATGTTCCTGGAACAAGACAGCCCATTTCTTGACTCTTTTCACTGGTTTTCCCCATTCCTGGAATTCCCTTCTCACCTCTGCTTCGTGACTTCCTTCTGATCCCAGCTAAAATCCCCCCTTCTGCAAGAAGCCTTTCCTAATTCGCCTTCAAGTTTAGTGCCTTCCCTTCGTGATTATCTCCCATTTATTTAGCATAAATCTTGTTTGTATATCGTTTTCATGTTGTCTCCCTCAACGGACTGTAGGCTGTCTGAGGACAGGGACTTTAAAACAAAAAACAACCAGCAAACCTTTTCTTTTAATTCCCCGTGATGAATACAGTGCACCTGGCATACAGTAGACACTTAATGCTTCTGGCTGAAATCTCCAATGTCATTTCGTTTTATAAATGATGATGGCACCTTGAACAAAACCAAGGCAGTGCCTACCCTGGGAGATTACATTAAGGGAGCTGGGTACAGCTCGAGAAGATCATCACAGAACCAGTGTGCTGTTGACACTTTCCCTGATCTCGGGTTTATCCAAAGGCACTAAAGCGAGTTTCCCTGTTTCTTCCTAGCCCTGGTGAGTCCTTGCATTTTGCAGATCAGGAAAACACTGCTCCGAGACACAGACACGAGTTCCTGCCCCCTCTGCACCCCCCCTCCGCCGCCATTCTGCTAAGTGCCACGGCTGGACGTCAAGGCCGAGGTGCACCCTTGAACTCCAAAGCTCTTTGCCCCCTACAGCAGCGGGCCTGAACCTGAGGGCCTTGAACTTTTTAAAAAATACTTTAGTGACTATATTTCGATATTTCGACAGAATAGTCTCCACTTGTAATCCTTAGCATTTTATTTAATGCATTAAGACCAAAAGGTGAAAAGGGCCCTCTAAGGTGGGGTGGGGGGGTCCCCAAGATAGGGGGTTGAGTCCGGACAACGGGGCGGGGGGGGGAGTGGCCGTTATCTCCTCCCTCTCTATGTACGATGATTCACCCCAGGCGGCCAGCGGGCAGGGCCTCGGGCCTCCCTACACCGGGGAGTATTTCCGGGGTGAGCTCCGCGCGAGCCGGCGGGGCCGGGGAAGGCCAGGCTCAGACCCCGCGGCCTAGAGCCCGCGCGGCCCGGCCCTGCGGGAGGGGCTGGCGGCCCCGCGGGTAGAGCCAAACTTACCTAGGTCGGAGTAGGCGGCTGTGGAGACGGCCGGGGAGTGGCAGGGAGAGAGAGTGAGGAAGGGGAGGGGCCGCATCTCAGCCGCCCTCCCCGCCCCCCCTTCCAGCCTTCTCTTCTGGCCCTTCCCGGCTGCCTCCGGGCCCTGCCGCCCTCCTTCTCCTTTACCCTCTCTCTCTTTGTCCTCCCTCCCCCCTCCTCTCTTTCTCAATCCTCCTCCTTCTCCCCTTTCTTTCTCCTTCCTCCTCCCTCCTCCCTCTTCTTCTCCCTCCCTCCTCCTCTTTCTCCCTCTCATTTTGGGGTTCAGGCGTCATTCCTAGTCGTTACCCCTTTAATGGGGAAGGATCTGAAGATCTGATTCCTTTCCCACCAAGGGTCATTTGCACTCAGAGTGAACAGCATTTATCTAAAGTTATACAAATGAGAATTTACTAGGTAATACCCGATGTGAACCAGCTCTCCTACTTATTGTTTCAGTCCTGCCTGATTCTCTGTGACCCCATTTTGGGGTTTTCTTGGCAAAGATACTGGAGTGATTTGCCATTTCCTTCTCCAGCTCATTTTATAGATGAGGAAACTGAGGCAAACAAGGTGAAGGGACTTGCCCAGGGTCGCACAGCTAGTAAGTGTCTGAGGCCGGATTTGGACTTAGGAAGATGAGTCTATTTGCACTTCTCCACCTCCCTGCGCACTCTCCCAGGATATATAAGTTCAACTTAGAAGAAGAAAATCCTTGATCTCACCCAAGGAAAAATTCCCTTAAATCATGAAGGAGGTTACAAAGAACACGGGAACAAGGACATGCTCTTCTACGTGTCAGCTTCTTTTTGGAGTCTTTCTTTCCTTCCAGGGACATCTTCCAGAAGAGAGCCTGGAGCTGCTAAAATCTCTCCTTTACCAAGTCCTCTCCACAACTCAACCCCTAGGCAGAGAGCTTCAAGTAATCATTTTCTGCCAAAGAGGACAGTGTTATGCAAATGTGCTTGAGCCCAGGGTTACAAAGTTAAAGGGTTTGTTTGTTTTCAGTTTGCGGACGATGGTAGATAAATCACTCCACCAGTTCTACTTATGTGTATGACCTTGGGGCAAGTCACTTAGGGTCTTAGATTTTGAGCTGGAAAGGACCATTGCTTGTTTAAGGGACTATTTATATGTACTGTTGAGATAATGTCAATAAAGCAGCATAAGGCAGAGACAGGAAAACTTCAGCATTTGTTCAACGTTGAGACACACTCCACCAGTACTTGCTGGACATACGTGTTTCTTTGATCTGACTAATACTTAAACCATTCTACCATTCAGGTAACTTTTCTTTACATGGGTCAAAGAGGTTGCTTATTACAAAGCAGTTTGGTTGTATAGGTTACAGGTTGTTGTGAAGATTAAATGAGATAAGCTATATAAATGCTAGCTATTATTATTTTACTACCACCACTGCTACTGCTTGCTCTTCCTATACCTCCTCCTCTTCCTCCTCTTCCAACCAACCGCTACCACTACCATCACCACCACCACCACTACTACTTTATAAACATCAATGGATAAAATTTATTGAACATCATTTGATTACTCTAGTTTTGTCAAGTGAGAATAAATGTAAGGGTGGAAAGTGGTAATCTTCTGCATGCTCAGACCTCTCATAATTGTGTTTTTGAACCAGCCTAAGGGCATACTTTCTAATAACTTGTTTTTATGAAAAATAAGTGTCCCCAGCAGAATTACAGGACTCATGGCTTCAATTTCACTTAATACATATATAATAAACTTAACCTCGTCTGCTGCCTTCCTCTTCTGTTCTCTCCAATCATCTTGAAACTCTTCAGGCAAGTCTTTTTTTCTATGCTTGTGATTCCATTTCTGTTTAGAAATCTGTTGCCACTAGCTCATGGAGTACCTTCCTATTCCTATTTTTCGTATCTCTAACCTAGTATTCTACCCACATTTCTAAACCTATCTTTCTCCTTTCCCTCATGATTTTAGTCAGAATAGTTCGAATTTTCCCCCCACTGCTGTCTAACTTCAAAACGTAGTGCTTCTGCTTCGATATTCAGCTTTACTCAATAGCCACAGTTCTCACTGAAGACTTTTATATAATTTCCTGCATTACAGATGATGGCATTTAAGGGAGACAACGTGAATGAAAATGCATTTATTAATTGCAGAGAGTTATATTAATGAGATATCTTTGCCTATGTGCTGACATGCATAGTTGGATCAGATTAAGCAGAAAATTTGGTGTGGCTAATTCACAACTCGTAGCAGAGCCCTGAGAACAATAGCTCTTCTACTTTGCACAGTGTTAAGGCAAGCCTCTGCAGAAAGGGAGTCACCTAATATTTCGGTTTTTAGCCGCAACCATGTTCAAGTAAACTTGGCTCGAGACTCACTTCTCAGTTTTGTCAATGCCTTGGATTGTCTTTTAGCAATTAATTATCCTCTAAGATTTAATTTTTAATCCCAAAGTGAGGAAATGAAATTTTCCTCTAAGGCATTAAATTATGTCAAACAAATTGGAGAAATCCAATAGAAACGTTGACTGTCCCAGTAATTTATAAATGATAGCTGCAGAGGCAGGAGACATATCAAATGCAAATACTGTGCCTACTGGTTCCAAACAATGGTGTGTTCTTGCAGCAAAATTTTTATCATTTACTTTTTTTTTTTTAAAGAATATTCTAAGTTGCCCTCAAAATTGTGACCCAAGCATTAACATTGTATTTGGGTGGAATAAAAGTTTGTTCAAAATGCTGCACATTGATAGCAAAAGCATAGAATTTATTTATTTAAGATTTTCTATATACTAATTATGAAAAGCAGCAGGTCTAGATGAGAGGTCCAGATAAAGAGTTGGTCCTACCATCTTCTTCTATATAGTCATCTTGGCATCCTTAGCATGCAGACTCTAGGTATCTCCATATTGTCTGTCTGTCTGTCTGTCTATCTATCTCTATCCATCTATCTAGCTATCTCTAAGGTTTTGATTTTGAAAGGAAATAGTTGTCTATATAAATGGTGGTAAAGGACAGGAAGTGATTTTCTTTTTTTCCTTTTTTCTTTTTAATTTATGGAGTAAAATAAGCATTTCCATAACAAAATATAGTACAATAGATGATTGCAAATGAAACTGCAAATCTATTATGTATAACTTGCTATTCCTTTTAAAAGTATAATAAAGTTATCATATTTTTCCCCTTTTTTTCCTTCTCTTTGTCCTGCCCTAGAGATAGCTACAATTAGACACACACACACATACACACTATATACATATATATGTATATATGTAAATTTATTCTGTGCATCTATTTACCAGTTCTTTCTCTGAATGAAGATAGCATCTTTATATGTCCTTTTATAGTTATTTTGGGTATTAATAGTAGTCAAAATGACTTATGTACTCAAAGTCATTAAGATAATATTGCTATTACTGTATACAATGTTTTCTTGGTTCTGCTCATTTCACTCTTCATTATTTCATGCAAGTCTTTCCATGACTTTCTAAGATCAGTGAGTTCATCATTTCTTATAGCGCAATAGTAATCCATCACAATCATATACAACTTGTTCAGCCATTCCCCAACTGATGGGCATCCTTACAGTTTCCAGTTCTTTGTTATCATAAAGAGAGCTGCTATAAAAACATTTTAGAACATATAGGTTCTTTTCCTTTTCCACTAATCATCTTTGGAAATAGACCTAATAGTGGTACTGCTGAATTAAAGGCAGTTTAATAACTCTTTGGGTATAATTCCAGATTGCTCTTCAAAATGTTTGGATCAGTTCACAATTCCACTAACAATGAATTGCTGTCCCAATTTTCCCACATTCCCTCCAACATTTATCATTTTCCCCTTAAGTCATTTTAGCCAATCTGGTATAAAATGATTTCTTAAGATTTTTTAAATTTGTATTTCTCTAATCCATAATGATTTAGAGCATTTTTTCATATGACTATAAATTGTTTTGAGGAATTGATTTTCTGACTCAGTTTAAAATATAAGTGATATGCTCTTGACAAGGGACTAGAATATATCTTTTTAAAATAAAATATAATATTAATATATTTTGCTTTTATACTGCATACATTTCTTCAAAGAATTTTTTTAATGAAAAGCGGAAGAAGAGAAACAATAAGTAAACCCATCAATATATCAAAAATAATCACCTGATAATATATGTAATATTCTACACTAATGGCCCTCTAACCCATGCAAAACCACTCATTATGGAGAAACACATGTTATAGCATAGAAATAATAATGATGCCTAGTATTTATAAAATAAACAGAGAAGAGGGTGGAAATATTTTTTATGGTCTCCAATATCTGTATACCAATGTACAGGATATGGATAATAGATCAAATGAACTAAATTTTTTAACATGAGGTGGTGAATACAGGCTAAAAACTTCCAAAAAGCCTTAGTAAATGGGACTTAGAATGAGAATTTGAAGAGTATATTAACATCAGTCAGAACTATATATAAAAATAGCAAAACATTTAACAAACAAAGAATAATAAAGTAACAAAGAAAAATCAAGTAGTATTATCATTCTTAGCTACCCAATCATTTTCCTCCAAGATTCCCGTGACAATAAGGAAGGGAATCTTCTCCCAGAAAACTCATGCTGTTAAGTGAGAAAAAGTTGGATCAAAGCTGCAGTGCCTCTCCCAGCTCCATCTCCCAGCAATCATGTGTGCCTCTGAGTTTCTTGTCCCCACCTCTTGCAGCTTCCTTGGTTGAGTTCCAGAGGTTATCTGAATGCTGCACCCCTCTTAACTTCCATAGCTTCTGTTCAAGTCTGTCTACAACTCAGTTTCTATAGCTGTTGTTCCCCTCTGCCTCCAAAACAGATCTTTGATACTTTTCACCAAGCTGCTGCTGCTATCTGCAGACGCTATCATCAGCTATTGTCCATCTTCTTCAGGTGTTATTTCCCTTTTGGGGGGAAGTTGAGTCGGGTTAACCAGCCTTAAGAGATCATCAATACATTTTAAACTTCCTTGTTAGTCAAGTTAATAGTACCAAGCTGGCACATAAAAGAACTCTTTGGTGACTGTTACTACCCATCTTACTAGTCCCTTCCCACACCACCCCCCCAACCAAAGCTCTCCAGTCCTTA